ATGCATAAAAATCTGATAGAGTCTTGTATTAGGGTTCTCTAGAGGGACAAAACTAATAGGAGATAAATATATATATTTTTTATATATTATATAATTAAATATTTTATATATTTTATATATTTATTTAAAATTAAATAAACTATATTATAAATAATATACTATCAATTATTATATTAATAGTATTAATAAAATATTAATTAATATAAAATAATTAATAAAATAGTAATAAACTATATTATATATAAAACATAGTTTACTTAATAATATATATAATATAGTTTATTAAGGAGTATTAAACTCACATGATCACAAGGTTCCACAATAGGCTGTCTGCAAGCTGAGGAGCAAGGAAGCCAGTCCAAGTCCCAAAGCTGAAGAACTCAAGGTCTGATGTTCTAAGGGCAGGAAGCATACAGCATGGGAAAAAGATGTATGTTGAGAGGTTAAGCCAGTCTGGCCTTTTCAAGGTTTTCCGACTGTTTTAAATCCTGGCCATGCTGGCAGCTGATTAGATGGTGCCCACCCAGATTAAGGGCGGGTCTGCCTTTCCCAGCCCACTGACCCAAACGTTAATCTCCTTTGTCAACATCTTCACAGACACACCCAAGGATCAATACTTTGCATCCTTCAATCCAATCAAGTTGACCCTCAGTATTCACCATGGCAAGTCTGTTAATCTAGTAGTTAGAAACGAATACTTTCAGTAGCCAGGAAAGTAAAGCAGATTAATTGTAAATCTGTAGGGTGCTGTGGTGACTGTGGGACGCTCTGGAGCATTTATCACTTCTCAAAGGGGGAATTCACTAATAAGTTCCGGCTTACTGGTACCATGGGAGAATGTGGACTAATATCACTCCAGATTCAAAATTTTCAAGAGAAGTTGGAAATCTGGATTTTTGTGTAAAATTTTCAGCTTAAGAGACAAAATCTATAAACCACCAGTATGTAGTCTATGTTTAAAACCCTTATTTGATTAGGCTACTTACAAACAAACGTAGAAACAGGGTTTCTACTGCACAACATGGCAAAAAAGATAATAGAACCCCCCCTTAATAACATATCTAGTAATTATAGATGAGATGTGAACATCAACATTTTAAATGTTTAGCCAAACTCTTTAAAGAGTGAGATAAAGCCCTGGAGTGGTGACCCTGTGAGCTGATGTTATGCCTATCCTGGACTTGGGGTGAGGTAATTTCCTGTCTTAGTGACAAAGAGACTTGGGTAATAATGCCTGTTTAGGAATAGTAATTGAGATCTGGGACCAACAAGAGGCTCACACACCTCCTGTAGAGCTATGACTCTTAAACAATTAATCCCTTATTAAAAGAAGGAATTATAAATAAATCCAGCCATCAACATAAGGATATGTCAGGGAACTGGCTATTTCAGCCTCATCTGTGGTTGGAAAAGAGTTCACAAAGGTGCAGGAATCCTGAAACTAAGAAACTAGTGAAAAGTGTGCCCAGGCCAGTGACAGCACTGGGCTAACTGGCAATTCAACACAAAACCTCTCTGAAGGCAGTACCCTTCACCAAGGACCTCAGATCATTTCAGCAGATGAAGCCCGGCTCCAGATAAATTCAAAATCCAAAATGGAGTAAAAAATGCAAACACACAGTGACACCATCGACCAAGAGTAGAAGTCAATTGACTGAATAAGTAACTTGATTGACCCTTGAGGATATGTAGGTAATACAAGCCCCAGAGAGAGATTATAAAAATAGACATTGTCAAAATGACTAGGAGCTCAAAAGGAATTTAAAATGTAGGAAACAAACAAGAGCTTCAGAGAAATAAAAGGCTGATTATTTTTTTGAATTGAAAAAAAAGAAAAAATAGAATTCCTAGATATAAAAAACATAATTACTGAAATTAAAACTCAATTGATGGATTAAATAGTCACCAAACAAAGCTAGAGGAAGACTTAATGCATGGAAAGATAAATGTGATGAAATTATCCAGAAGGTAACAAAGAGAAAACAGATGAAAATCATAAAAAAGAGACGAATGGCAAAGCGAAAAGTTTGAACACTTTCCTGCCAATAACTATTGTAAACTCTGGGAGCAAACAATCAAACAATTGGGAGATGAACAAAAACTAGTAGAAACTGGTGTGGATTTGACCTTCACTGAGCGAAATTCACATTTATATGTTTCTTCTCTTGTGTTTTTTAAACATAAAACACATTTATATGTTTTTGGGAGGCCGAGGTGGGTGGATTACGAGGTCAAGAGATCGAGACCATCCTGGTCAACATGATGAAACCCCGTCTCTACTAAAAATTACAAAAAATTAGCTGGGCATGGTGGCGTGTGCCTGTAATCCCGGCTACTCAGGAGGCTGAGGCAGGAGAATTGCCTGAACCCAGGAGGGGGAGGTTGCGGTGAGCCGAGATAGCACCACTGCACTCCAGCCTGAGTAACAAGAGCAAAACTCTGTCTCAAAAAAAAAACAAAAACAAAAACAGAAGTTTTAATTTTAGGACTAAGGATTCATCCTAGGCTAGTTGTGAAACTAAAATAAAACCACTCTAACAAAACCTAAAACCAAGCTTCATAAATCAAGTTCATCTGCCTGTAATTTAACTACCTTCTAAAACAGAAGTCAATGTTTTTCAGAGGAAGATAACAGAATCCAGAGTGTTTATAAAGTATTACCCACAATATCTAATGTGAAATTAAAATTTATTAGACTTACAAAGACAGAAAAGTGTGACACATAACCCAGAGAATAATAAAAATTGAAAGAGACCTGCAGAATAACTAGATGTTGAAATTGGCCAGATGTTGAAATTGACAACATTTTTTAACATAGTTATGGTAAATATGTTTATGAATTTACTGGAAGGCATGGGTATAATGTGTGAAAAATTAGGAAATTGTCAGAAAGGATATGTAAATTGTAAAAAGCAGCAAGTGGGAGTCCTACAACTGAAAAACAATATCTTTAAAAAATTAATTTCCTGGGATTTATGGGACATTTAACACAACAAAAGGAAAGAGTAGTGACCATGGTGAAAGGCTGACGGCAGGCACCTAAACTGTAGGACAGAGAGCAAGAGATTCTTTTTTAGCTAAGCAGAGCCCCAGTGAGCTGTAAGGATTGTCTCAAAAGGTCTGACACACATTTAAGAAGGAGAGGAGAAAGAATATGAAGCAGGAAAAAAAAATTGCAACTATGTTATCCGAAAAATTTCTAAATTTGATTGAAAACAGCAACCCACACAATCATGACTGAAAACAGCAACCCACAAACCCCAAATTAGGTAACTGCGAATAAAACATAACTAACTGTATCAGGGTCTAACTGCTGAAAACCAAGATTAAGAATAAATCTTAAAAGCATCGAAAGAAAGAAGACATATTATGTAGAGGTGTATAACATGATGGCTAATTTCTCATAGGAAAAAGTGAAGCTAGAAGACATGGAACAGTATCTTTAAAATCATGAATGAAAAAATACCAACTTGGGCCGGGTCCGGTGGCTCAAGCCTGTAATCCCAGCACTTTGGGAGGCCGAGGCAGGTGGATCATGAGGTCAAGAAATCGAGACCATCCCGGTCAACATGGTGAAACCCCGTCTCTACTAAAAATACAAAAAATTAGCTGGGCATGGTGGCACGTGTACTCAGGAGGCTGAGGCAGGAGAATTGCCTGAACCCAGGAGGCGGAGGTTGCGGTGAGCCGAGATCGTGCCATTGCACTCCAGCCTGGGTAACAAGAGCGAAACTCCGTCTCAGGAAAAAAAAAAAAATACCAACTTGAAGTTGCATATACAGCAAATATATATATATGTGTATATGTATATGTATATGTGTATATGTGTATGTACACACACATATATAATTTAGATCAATAAAAGCTGAGAGAATTTGTTGCCAGCAGCCCCACATTACCAGAAAGCCCCATAGATACCCTTCAGGGTGAAGAAAAAATAACACCAAATCAAAATTCAGAGCTACATGAAGAAAAGATGAACATTAAAAATGGTAAATATTTGAGGAAATATAAAAGACATGGTTAAAATTAACATCTATTCTTCAAACCACACCACTAGGAGAACAAAAGCAAGTCATAGGATGGCAGAAGTGTTTCCCCCGTGGGCCTTGCTGCCATGGTTCTCATGGCTGCCACCCTGGAGGGACTGACTGGGGCTAGTGCTAGAGAACAGCCAGGAGAAAGCACCACGGGGGGGTTGACCTTCAGGAGCTCCCTTTCCCACTCTTCAAGCCAGGGCTAAGGGGTAGTCTCTTGGAGCTCTCTGTGTGCATGCTGGTCCTGTTCTCACTTCCAAGTTTCTGGCTTTCTTGAGTCTAGGCTGGGGGACACCGGGGGAAAAGTGGGAAGCTCACCACCTATTTGGTGATACCTTGAACTCTGGTCCTGTTTCCCAATTTCCAGAGTCCTACAATAGTTGTCCCAGGTGCTACAGCTACACTGGGAAAGAGCGACAGGGTTTGGTATGCTTCTCCCTCTTGATCCATGGTCCCATGAACTAAGTCTTGAGCATGGTAAGTCTGAGCTTACCACGAACATCCAGGTAGAAATGCATGCTTGGAGCTTTGAAGCGAGCTCTGGGCTAGAAATAAACATTTCAGCCTTCAATGTATAGATGTTGTTCTCATTTACAGGACTGAATGAGAGCCAGCAGGGACAGTGTGTAGGATACTGGAAATGGACTGCGAAAAGAGCCCTGGGGACTAGCAACGTCTAAGTGGTGGGCAAAGGAGGAGGAGCCAATGATGCAGGGTCAGACAGGCAGGAGAAAAACCAGGACACAGACACAAGGGAGACAGGTCTCTCTCCGAGCTCTCTTCTGGCTGTGCACACCGGTGTTGCCCTGTGTATCTGGCCAGCATTTCCCAGGGTTCTGTCTGTGCAGCACCTGTACCAGGATCACTAGCGGGGGTCGGAGGGTGGGGGGCAGGGTGTGAAGCATATTGAGTCTTAGGCCATGCTCGAAACTTCTTTAATTATAGGCATAAGTGGTGGGGCCTGCCTGCCTGAATTTAAACTAGCTGTGCGGGGATTTCTCATGAACAGTTGGAAAACCACTTCCCTAGGTCTAGAAAATGTAGGGACTCTTGAGCCTGTCACCAGCATAAAGAGAAGGTGCTGAAAGAGGGAAAAGTAAGAGAAGAGGAGGAGAAGGGAATGATGATGAGGGAAAGAGAGAGATTCCCAGTTTGGTAAGTGGTGTGGAAGGAGAAAGAAAGGGAGGGGGAGATTAAGAGGAAAGAAGCAGGAGGAGGGGGAGGAAAGGACCCTTTATTCTCTTATTCTCATTATTTCGAAGCAGACATACTTGGAGTAGCTGAATCTTGGGTTTGTCTTCCATGTTTGCAGTCTGCTTAGGGCCCAGCATGAGCCTGCAGGGCTCCAAGCTGGGCAAGGGGACAGCAAGACGGGTGGAGGGCAGCCACTGCAGCTGTGCCGAACATGATGCGGAACGTGATGGGAATGAGCAATCTGGGCTGAGACTACCCTTCTTTAAACAGCATCCAACGCTAAGTGAGCCCTGTTGCTTTTACATGACTCAATCAACATAGGTTAATTGGTGCTTTTTGTGCCAAATCCAGTAGTCATGTTTTATGCAGTGCTGCGCTAGCCAGACAACATCTGTTTGGAAGGGGAACGAAACTTGCTGAGGCAAAGCTACACACATCCTTTTCTCTCCACCCCACCCCCAAGCCTCCTACTAAGGAGTAGATTTCAGAAATCTTTCGAAAATGTCCAAAAGCTAATGTCAAGTAGAAACCACATTAGATGAAATGGGAATTCATCACCAAAAGTGCTTAGAGAAAAAGCATTTTACCCCTTTTGAGCCTCCAAATAACCCATGCAGTGCAAGTTTTCTTGGCGTTCACTTACTTTCTTCTCAACCCTGGTTCTCTCCTGTGAGTTCCTCCACAACAGTGGCCATGTCTCCTTCATATGCGTGTTGCTGGCTCCTTGTACAGCACCTGGCACACTTGAGGGGTTCAAAACTTTTGCTGAACTAAGCTTAACTCTCATTTTAGTGTCATTTTAACATGCCATGTTCTGTGTGTCTTCTATGTTTCTTCTTTCCTCGTTCAGATTTCTCCTGGTCTTCTTCTTTTCTATCTGTTTATTTTATTTTCTTCTTTACCCTTTCTGTCTTTCACTCCTCTCTCCCCCAGGGCCTGATTATTGCCAGAAGAGGACCAAGCTGGGAACCAGAATGTGAAGAAAGCAAATTCTTCCAGCCTTTTCCAAATTTCCCCCTCTCCCTCCTCTTCTTTCTCCTTCCTCCTCATTTTCCCTTCCCTGTCTTCTTCCGTTTCTCTTCCTTTTTCCTTCCCCTGTCTGCACCCTTCAGGATTTGCTTTCTAAAGTTCTCCATGTAGAAACATCTTAGTAATGTGAACGATGCAATGCTATTTAAGTCATTGGAGTAAAAGCAATTTTTCATTTCCTATTAATACCCCATCTTTAGTAATTCTTAATTTTGAGTGAAATCTCCTCTACCTCACAAACACAAATTCATTCTAAGGTGCAATATGGCAGTGGCTCATGCCTGTAATCTCAGCACTTTGGGAGGCTGAGGTGGGTAGATCACCTGAAGTCAAGCGTTAGAGACAGCCTGGCCAACATGGTGAAACACTGTTTCTACTAAAAACACAAAAATCAACCAGACATGATGGCATGTGCCTGTAATCCCAGCTACCTGGGAGGCTGTGGCAGAATCACTTGAATCAGGATGCAGAAGTTGCAGTGAGCCGAGATTGCTCCACTGCACTCCAGCCTGGGCAACAGAGTGAGACATTGTCTCAAAAAAAAAAAAAAAAAATGCAGCATGACCCATTTAATATACTTCATTCTTCAGCATTCTTAATTAGTGAACACTCTAACTGTATGGATAATTATTATATCGTCATCAGCATTTCATGGACTATCTGATGGAGTGAGGACTCAAGGGATTTAACTCAAGTGCCCTGAACAAGCTAAACGGAATAGTGTACTGTCCTTTCATCTCCAAAACAATCCATGGTGCTAATTTGTTAGATCTTCTACGAACAATGATCAAATGTTTATGAATAACAACTGTGACGGAAATTACTAAGATTAGGGGTTTATAGATAAGAGTTTTAAGACACACTTAGAGACTGAACTTATTTAATTCTGTTATTCTTTTGACTCATTGCATTCTCACGGGCAGTTCACAGGTTTCTGTGTAGCCTAGGTCCTTCGGGCACCCGGAGATTTTGTTTGTTGATAATTAACATCTCCTGGAAATGAAAGGAAGAGAATAAAAATTCAGACCAGTTCAAAAAAGATGAGCTTCTGGCGTAACTATATTATTTTCCAGGAATAAATAATCTAAGAGTGGAGGAAGGAAGCCAATATTGTTGAACTCCTTTTATGGAGTTCACAGAAGCAAATGTGAACAATTATATGTGATGATGCAACTTGTAATATGTTAACTCTTTTAATTCTCACAAAACACTGTAAGGGAGGAGTTATTATCCTATATTATAGATGAAGGAATGGAGACTCAGAGGGGTGAGCGGACTTGCTCGAGGTCACAGAGCAAGATAGTGGTGAAGCCAGGATTCAATCCCAGGCCTGGCTTCACCATGTGACGTCCAAAGCCCATGTGTGTTCGACTGCATGGTCCCTACAGTGCCTTAAACCCAGTGTGGGACTATAAACACAGCCTTTCTTCCTGTCTCTTCTCTAACATTCTCTCTTATTTTTGTTTCAACAGTAACAACACCTCCCATTTATATGGTGCTTTATAGACATTTATCAGGTGTTTTCACAGACACTGCCTCACTTAGTCCCCATGGCAATCTGGGAAATACTAGTGTTACTGTTTGCAGTTTACAGATGTGGAAACTGGGATCTGGAGTGTGACAGGGTTGGTTTCTGGTCAGACAGCAAGTCAGTGATGGAGTTGATTCTGGAAGGAAGATGAGACTGAGCCAGGACACTGGGAAGCCTGCAGGGCAGATCTGGGAGCTAGGATTGGTGAAAGATAGGTCAAAAGGGTCAGGACAGGAAGGGCAGTGTGGCTGGCTGAGTATTTAATTCAGAAGTGACTTCTATTTTCTCGGAATTGCAGAATTTTCTCTTCCCCATTTTGCTGTTCAAGGCACTTATGTGATCTCCCTAATTCCTGACTCAACATTCTTGCTTCAGCCAGGGATTTGTGCTTTTCTATGTTCATCTCCTTAAAGCATGGTTCATTTTCTTCTACCATCTGCACAGGCCTGATTTCTGACGCAGGCCCTCACCATGTCTTACTTATATACATTACGTGTTTCTTCTAATAGTCTCCCTCCTCTCGTCCCCCCCTCCACCAACAGGCCCCAGTGTGTGATGTTTTCCTCCCTGTGTCCATGGCTTCTCATTATTCATCTCCCACTTATGAGTGAGAACATGTGGTATTTGCTTTTCTGTTCCTGTGTTACTTTGCTGAGAATGATGGTTTCCAGCTTCATCCATATCCCAGCAAAGAACATGAACTCATTTTTATGGCTGCATAGTATTCCATATGTGGTGTATATGTGCCATATTTCCTTTATCCAGTCTATCATTAATGGGCATTTTAGTTGGTTCCAAATCTTAGCTATTGTGAACAGTGCCGCAATAAACATACTCGTGCATATATCTTTATAATAGAATCAACCATTGTGGAAGACAGTGTGGCGATTCCTCTAAGATTTAGAACTAGAAATACCATCTGACCCAGCAATCCCATTAGTGGGTATATACCCAAGGGAGAGTTCCATTCTTAAACCACCTTGGTGGCATCTTCCTCTTTTATCCTCCACCTTCAAGCTTCTTTCTTTCTCCTCCATTTAATGTGTTGACACTCATAAAAGTTGTGAAAAGAATGCCAGCTTCCATCAAGTTCAAAGGTATTGGATTTAGATGAAAAAGACATTTGTAGGTCTTAAGAGTCAAAGAAATGCCACCCATGATAGTGAGGCAATAGCCAAGATAGGCTCTGACCTGGTCTTTACCCTGTTCTGTGAGCACAGCAGGGATATGAGCTGTCTAGATTCTGAGAGTGATGAGTCTGTATTTTAATTATAATACTCCAGGTATAGGCATGAATTCATACAGTCAGCATCCTGACTAAAATCCCTGCTTGTGATAGTTGTAATCCCCAAACATTGAATAGTCAGAAACATGGGAAAGACACAGAACTAAACATGTAAATCTTTTAGAGAATCAAAACTTTATCATTGATATCATCAAGTTAAGAATCTCTACTTATTTGGTATATTTCATTAATGTTTAAAAGAAATTGTCTGTTACAATAACAGGTCAGCTTTAAAATGCCCACTTCAGAAGCATACATGAATACTTTCTGATTTAGACTTGTGGTTTTAGATAAAACTAATGTTTTAATTCAAAGAGAATTCAACCCCTCCAGATGCCCCTGGCAGTCAGATTGGAGCCCATGATTCATTTGGGGCAATGAAAACTTGTGGTACTTTCAAGTAGAAGCAGTCAAGAGCAGTCATGTCTTCTCCATCTCTCCTGTTCTCATGAAGGCAACCTGGTTGGTACAGGCATTGGATGGGAGAGGCCATGTGATCCACACTGGGTTTTCCTGAAGGGGAAACACATCTGGATCGTCTTGTGAAAGAGCATGAAAGACTGAATTGTCCACTGGGGATCCCACATGTCCTTGTACCAGCTGGGCTTCCTCCTCCCTCTTTTGTTGTACATGACCTTAGCCCTTAACTGTTTTGCCCCACCCCTTTTGATAAAATTCAAATCACCCAAACTATCTCTACTAATTCACTAAAACAATTCCTGCCCCTTCTCAAACTCTCTGGACAAACTACTGCTGCTGATGGCTGAACTTCAGCTAGCACCCTCTTGCTAAAGCCCTATAAAACATTCTGCCCTTCTTCCCCAAGTTAGAACTCCCCTTTGGAATCTTCTCATGCCTGGCATTTTTGAATAAAAGCTGTTGTGAATGGTACTCTGGCCGATTTTTCCCAAACAAGGACATGTGGGATTCCCAGTAGACAATTCAGTCTATCATGGCCTCTTACAACACAATCCAGGTGTGTTTCTCCTTGAGGCAAATCCAGTGTGGACCACATGACCTCCCCAATCCAATGGCTGCACCAGCCAGGTCACTTTCACAAAGAAAGGAGAGATGGAGGAGACATTCTGTTCTTGACTGCTTCTACTTGGAAATACCACAAGTTTTCATTGCCCCAAATGAATCATGGGCCCCACCGATTCTCTTTGACACATTTAAGCCATCAAGATTTCAGGTTTACTTGTTATCATACCATAGCCTAACCTATACTGGCTAATATATTTACTAAATTTGTAAACAACATATGAACATTTTCTTAAATTTGATTCATCACATTTAGACATTTGTTTGATTAAATTTTCAGTGAATAATTAAATGTATGGGATGTTTTACTATTAGAAAATTGGGCCAGGCACAATTATCTAATAGTAATCCCAACATATGGGAAGCCAAGGCAGAAAGATCACTTGAGGCCATGAGTTTGAGACCAGCCTGATCAAAATAGCGAGACCCTCATCTCTACAAGAAATACAAAAGCTAGTCAGGCATGGTGGCACATGTCTGTAGTCCTAGCTACTTTTGAGGCTGAGGTTGGAGGATTGCTCGAGCCCAGGAGTTTGAGGCTGCTATGAGCTATGATCATGCCAGTACACTCCAGCCTGGGCAGCAGAATGAGGCCCTGTCCCTGCCCTCCAACTGTCCCCAACCCCCACCAATAAAATAAGGATTGAAGTGCTTAAAAGTACTTGTATTTGTAAATGTAATTGAAAATATTCAAAGATGTTTAATTAACTTGGTTTATAAAATGAGACCAAATATTATTCAAGGGATCCTTAACTGTGATTGCTAAAATTTGCCAGAAATTTTTATAAGTAAAATAATAAGATTTAGTAGATGAACACAAAAGCTTAAAGATGAATTGCATTTTTAAATATGGAACTCTAATAAATCTAACATTGCTGTCTAAAAACCAGACAAAACCCCTGAATGATCTTTTCTGTGCATAAAGTGTATACTCAAGGATATGTAAAAGGCCTCATATTTAGCAATGTGCTATGGAACCAGCTGGAGCTGGCACTGATTGATGAGCTACATGGGGGGGGGGGTCACTATCCAGGAATAGTGGGATCTCAGAAGGAAGGGGCCAAAGGATGGAAGGTGGCTGGTAGAGGGAAGACAGAATTTGCAGGACCGGGCACCAGGAGAGAAGTTCTTGCTATGGAGGGGTGGCCAAAGAGTGTGTGTGGAGATCCAGGGTAACTCAGAGAAGTCACAGAAGCCCCCTGAGTACCCAGCACACTGAGAATCTAAAATATGTTCAACATTTCCCTCACAGGTCACTTCCCCTGCTGACTCCCTTCCTGGTGTTTTTCCACTTGGAAAGTATGGACCTAACAGAGTGACACTGGGGGACACCTGGCTAGCTAAATAAGAAGACTACTGTCTCTACTGCGCCCTTCTGCCCTGACCTCTTCATGATAAGAGCTAAATAAGAACAAATCCTTACATGTGCATAGCACTTTAGAGTGTACAAAGTGCTTCATAAAATTCCCAAGCCTCATTCATTTAACTTTCACTATAGACCTCTCAAGTCTTTATTTTTGCCACACATTTAATTTCATCCCTAGTTTGCACACACAGAATCAAAATCTCATAGAGTTTTAAAGCTGTGGGAGGCCTAAGAGGTCATTGGGATCAAGCCATTCTTTCAGTAGATGAAGGAACCAAGACCCGTAACAGTTAAGTGATTTTACTGAAGCCATTCAGCTAGTTGGGGCAAAGCCTGTCAGATATTTTTGTGTTTGTTTCTTTGTTACTTCCAGATAACTAAATGAAGCTGATAGACTGGGCTTAAAATGGAAAATATGCATATGGGGGGAGTGGAAAAAGAGGGGTTAGAAAGATGAGGAATAAATCAACCCTTGTCTAAGGGCAAGTGTTTGCAAACTGGATGAACTAGTTTGAAACAATGCATTTCCAAAGGAATTCAGATTTTCTTCTGGTAGCTAATGATTGATGAATCTCAGTGAGACTAGTTCAAGACATTCTCTATCATGGATTACACATTAAAATATTTGGAAATGGGGGCTGTGGTAAGTCTACGATGGGCTCCAGTTATCCTTGCCTCCTTCTGCAACCTTCTCACCTTGAATGTGGGCTGGACAGAGTGACTCACTCCCAAAGAATAGAAAACAATAGAAGTAAAGCAGTGTCACTCCTGAGATTAAGTCATAAAAAGACTATGGCTTCTTTCTTGAGTATCCTCTTTCTCCTTGTCTCTCATCCCTCACTCTGGAGAAAGCCAGTTGTGTTTACAGTCAGCCCTGTGGAGACGTTCATGTGACAAGAAACCGAAGGAGGCCTTCAGCCAACAGCCAGTGGGAAATAGAGCCCACTGTCTAACTGCCCATGAGGCCTGACCATTAGGTAAGTGGGCTTAGAGCTGGCTTCCCCTGTGGAGTCTTCAGTGGAGACCACAGCCCCAGCCCTAGGTGACTACTTAACTGCAGCTTCATGAAAGCTGCTGAGCCGGAGACACCCAGCTGAAAAATACTGGGATTCCTGACTACAGAAACTGTGAATACTGTGAAGCTAACATAATAAATGTTTTTTTGCACTGCTGACTTTGGGGGCAATTTGTTATGCAGCAGTGGATAACAAATACAAGAGTGAAATAAGGACAAAAGAAACCTTAGTTAACTGGTTATCTTCTCACTTCAATCAATGTATATCACAGTCTTAAAGACACACTTTGGAGTGTTTTTAACTTTTCTTTAGCACTGTTAGCAATAAGCTTCCAAATCACAAAATTCAAAAATTATCTATTTTTTCCATTAAACATGTTGCTTGCCCCAATTATGGTTAAAAATACATCTTGGAGTGGAGTGGTTCACACCTGTAATTCTAGCACTTTGGGGGACTGAGGTGGGAGGACTGCTTGAGGCCAGCAGTTTGAGATCAACCTGGGCAACATGGCTAAACCTCATCTCTCTAAAAAAATATATTGTTAATGAAAAACAATACTGGAGACTAAGTGAGCTATAAAATATTTCATAGTTACCACAATTGGATGCAAGGTCCAGAAGAACTGTTCTGAAGACATGGTGGAGTTGGAACTTTAGGTGTAAATCCCTGTCTGGATCAGAGTGCTTCTCTCCTTCCTAGAGGTCCCTCCTCAGCAGCTGGTTAGCCCTGGAAAGTGCTGAAGGAGCTTCTGCACTTTTTCTAACATCACATTGCTTATTTGAAGAGCTCTAGATATGCCTGCAAAAGACATAACAATTTCCTATTTTATAATCACATTTAGAAAGAGAAACATTTCCATATTTTATCCTCTACCCATCTACTCAGCTTGTGATCAAGATCAGCCTAAAAGATGGAGGTTTAGAGGAAAACAGAAATTGATTGCAGTTAACAAGAGTGATGAATAGTGTGCCAGGAGAAAGAAACCTAGACTGAAGGTGTGAGCTCGTGCATTTACAGTGACAAGTTTTGCATTGGTTTGGCTGGTGGGGAAACCCCAGAATGCCATGCAGCAGAAATGAAAAACTAACATCTCAGAATCTCTGATCATTTTGGATGTCTATCAATAAACTAGAATGGCAGATTAGGGGTACATAAGTCAGACCAGTGAAGATTAATTGAAGTCAAGTTTCCTATGACAAAAGAACAGCTCGTTTATATCTGGGTACTGGGTTAGAAGCCTGCCTCACTTTTTTGTCATGAATTTTTTTTAAAGGTCATTGTGGTAGATGGGAGGCAGAACTAGATTGCAGCTCCAACTCAGATGGACAGAGCAGTGTGCAGAGGCTTGTATCATGAATTTTAGTTCCAGAATGACTGCAAGAATAAACCAGAGTCCTGAGAGGACCCACAGACCCTCTGAAGAAAGCGGACTGCTCCTGCAGGACTGGGGAGACAACCCAAATACTGTGAGTGCCCAAACTGCAGAAGTGGGAAAGGGAGACCCTCTGCTCCTGAACACACACTCCCACTGGGGAAAATGAAAGTCTAGTTTGCAGAAGTTTCCAATCTTACCTGAAGCTGAGTCAATTCAGAGAGCTGAGCAAAATACAGGGATAGAGGGAGCAGCGGGAAAGGTCCCAGGAGCTCATTGTGTCCCCAAACAGGCCATTCCTGCCTAGCACCACAGAGACCCTTTGGGAGAACAGCCAGAGGTGTGAGGGAAAATACCACAGGGAGAAGGAAGTCTCTAGCTGAACTTTGTAACAATTTTAACAGAGTGAGAAGCTTCCTGGCAGGAACTCAAGGGAGGGTGTGAATCTGGTGTGCAGAATCCACAGGCAGGGGAAGAACCAAGCCCTGTTCTTTCACAGCTGGGAGGCAGATAGCCTGGGGCAAGTTTGCTAGCCCTGCTCGCCCACTGCCTGGAAACAGACTCAGGGATGTTAGGTGGGAGCACAGTGGGAGTGAGACCAGCCCTTTGGATTGTCCCACTTAAAAGATAGAGAACTGCAGAATGGATAAGAACTCACTGACCAACTATCTGCTTCCTTCAGGAGACTCACCTAACACATAAGGACTCATATAAACTTAAAGTAAAGGGGTGGAAAAGGCATTTTATGCAAATGGACACCAAAGGGGAACAGGGATAGCTATTCTTGTATCAGACACAACAAACCTTAAAGCAACAGCAATTAAAAGAGACAAAGAGGGACATTATATAATGGTAAAAGACCTGTCCAACAGGAAAATATCACAATCCTAAACATAGATGCACCTAACACTGGAGCTCCCACATTTATAAAACAATTACTAATAGACCTAAGAAATGAGATAGACAGCAACACAATAATAGTGAGGGACTTCAAAATTCCACTGACAACACTAGACAGGTCATCAAGACAGAAAGTCAACAAAAAAACAATGGATTTCAGCTATACCTTGGAACAAATGGACTTGACAGATACATACAGAATATTTCATCCAACAACCACAAAATACACATTCTATTTAACAGTACAAGGAACTTTCTTTAAGATAGACCATATGGTAGGCCATAAAATAAGCCTCAATAAATTTCATAAAATTGAAATTACATGAAGCACTCTCTCCGATCAGTGGAAAAAAACTGGAAATCACTCCAAAAGCAACCTTCAAAACCATGCAAATACATGGAAATTAAATAATCTGCTCCTGAATGAGCATTGGGTCAAAAAACAAAATCAAGATGAAAATTAAAAAATTCTTCAAACCAAATGACAATAATGACACAACCTATCAAAATCTCTGGGATACAACAAAGACAGTGCTAAGAGGAAAGTTTATAGCCCTAAATGCCTACATTGAAAAGACTGAAAAAACACAAACTAACATTCTAAGATGACACCTCAAGGAACTAGAGAAACAAGAACAAACCAAATCAAAACCCAGCAGAAGAAAGGAAATAACCAAGATCAGAGCAGAACTAAATGAAATTGAAACAACAACAACAAAATGAAAAGGATAAATGAAACAAATAGCTGGTTCTTTGAAAAGAAAAATAAAAATTAATAGACCATTACCAAGATTAACCAAGAAAAGAAGACAGAAAATCCAGATAACCTCAGTAAGAAATGAAACAGGAGATATTACAACTGACATCACTGAAATACAAAAAAAATCATTCAAGTCTACTATGAATATCTTCATTCACATAAGCTAGAAAACCTAGAAGAGGTGGATAAATTTCTGGAAAAATACAGCCCTCCTAGCTTAAATCAGGAAGAATTAGATACCCTGAACAGACCAATAACAATCAGTGAGATTGAAATGGTAATTAAAAATTTACCAACAACAACAAAAAGGTCCAGGACCAGAGGGATTCACAGCAGAATTCTACCAGACATTCAAAGAATTGGTAGCAATCTTTTTGACACTATTCCACAAGATAGAGAAAGAAGGAACCCTCTCTAATTCATTCTATGAAGCCAGCATCACCCTAATACCAAAATCAGGAAAGGACATAACCAAAAAAGAAAAGTACAGACCGATATTCCTGATGAACATAGATGTTAAAATCCTTAGCAAAATACTAGTTAACTGAATCCAACAACGTATCAAAAAGATAATCCACCATGATCAAGTGGGTTTCATACCAGAGATGCAGGGATGGTTTAACATACGAAAGTGAATAAATATGATACACCACATAAACAGAATTAAAAACAAAATTCATATAATTCAATAGATGCAGAAAAAGCATTTGACAAAATCTAGCATTGCTTTGTAATTAAAGCTCTCAGCAAAATTGGCATAGAAAGGGCATACCTCAATGTAATAAAAGATGTCTGTAACAAACCCACAGCTAACAATACTGAATGGTGAAAAGTTAAAAGTATTCCCTCTGAGAACTGGAATGAGACTAGGATGCCCACTCTCACCACTTCTCTTCAACATAGTACTGAAAGTCCTAGCCACCAGACAACAAAGAAAGGGCATCCAAATCAGTAAAGAGGAAGTCAAACTGTTACTGTTTGCTGATGATATGATTTTTTACCACAAAAACCCTACAGACTCCTCCAGAAAGCTCTTAGAACTGATAAAAGAATTCAGCAAAGTTTCTGGGTATAAGATTAATGTACACAAATCTAGCTCTTCTATATATCACAGTGACCTATCAGAGAATCAAATCAAGAACTTAACCTCATTTACAATAGCTGCAAAAGAAAAATAATTGAATACTCAGGAATGTACCTAACCAAAAAGGTGAAAGACCTTTGCAAGGAAAATTACAAAACACTGCTGAGGGAAATCATAGATGTCACAAACAAATGGAAACACATCCCATGCTCATGGATGGGTAGAATTAATATTGTGAAAATGACCACACTGCCAAAAGAAATTTATAAATTCAATGTAATCCCCACCAAAATACCACTGTCATTCTTCACAGAATTAGAAAAAAATTATAAAATTCATATGGAACCAAAACAGAGCCTGCATAGCCAAAGCAAGACTAAGTAAGCAAAAGGAATGAATCTGGAGGCATCACACTGTCTGATTTTAAAACTATACTATAAGGCCATAGTCACCAAAACAGTATGGTACTGGTATAAAAATAGGTACCTAGACCAATGGAACAGAATAGAGAACACAGAAATAAATCCAAATACTTACAGCCAACTGATCTTCAACAAAGCAAAGAAAAACTTAAAGTGGGGAAAGGATATTTTTTTCCACAAATGGGGCTGGGATAATTGGCTAGCCACATGTAGGAGAATTAAACTGGATTCTCATCTCTTACATTATACAAAAATCAACTCAAGATGGATTAAGAACTTAAATCTGAGACTGGAAACTATAAAAATTATAGAAGATAATATTGGAAAAACCCTTCTAGGTATTGGCTTCAGCAAGCATTTAATGACCAAGAACCTAAAAGCAAATATAATAAAAACAAAGGTAAATAGTTGGGATTTAATTAAACTGAAGAGCTTTTGCATGGCAAAAGGAACAGGCAGTAGAGTAAACAGAAAAACAAAGAGTGGGAGAAAATCTTTACAATCTATACATGTGAAAAATATCCAGAATCTACCACGAACTCAAACAAATCGGTAAGAAAAAAAACAAACAGTCCCATCAAAAAGTGAACTAAAGACATGAGTAGACAATTCTCAAAAGAACACATACAAAAGGCCAACAAATATATGAAAAAATGCTCAGCATCACTAATGATCAGGAAAATGCAAATCAAAACCACAATGCAATATCATCTTATTCCTGCAAGAATGGCCATTATAAAAAAATCATGAAAACGGTAGATGTTGGCATTGATGCAGTGATCAGGAAACATTTGTACACTGCTGGTGGGAATGTAAACTAGTACAGCCGCTATGGAAAACAGTGTGGAGATGCCTTAAAGAACTAAAAGTAGAACAACCATTTGATCCAGCAATCCAACTACTGGGTATCTACCCAGAGGAAAAGAAGTATTTATATGAAAAAGAAACTTGCACACACATTTTTATAGCAGCACAATTTGCAATTGCAAAATTGTGGAACCAACCGAAATGCCCAACAATCAAAGAGTGGATAAAGAAACATATATACATAAATACACACACACACACACACACACACACACACACACACACACACACACGTCTCAATGGAATACTACTCAGCTATAAAAAGTAATAAATTAACTGCATATGGAGCAACCTGGATGAGATTGGAGACTATTATTCTAAGTGAAGTAACTCAGGAGAGGAAAATCAAACATCGTATGTTCTCACTGATATGTGGGAGCTAAACTATGAGGA